AAAAAGTGCAGAATCAACACAATGAACTTTGACTCACTCGGTATCTTCTCCTTGCCAGCATCAGATTTGACATCATTGGAACTTTCTTCTTCTGCATTGCATAACACAAAAAAGGATTCAGAAGATTCATTGGTTAAGTTATCCATGTATAATAAATTCCCAAGTGCAGAATCAACACAATGAACTTTGACTCACTCGGTATCTTCTCCTTGCCAGCTTCCAGACACAGGAGACCAATTGCTCCATCAGTTGTAGTGTAGTTGTTTGCTCTTAATATATAGACCTGAATGAAAAGCGCAGAAAAAACAAGAGAAAAATTTAATATTGGATAAGTGCGGACAGAGCATGCAAGGAACAATTAAAGAAATGTGTGTCCTGCACACACTAGTGCATATGTAGTGCCTGTCAATCAATAGTGTAAAAGAATGATCAAGCAATTGAAAACTTATCGGGAAACACTTGCCTTAAACTTTGCTGAACTGACAAGTTGAAAGACTACAACATCTCCAACCTTGATATCATGATTAATCGCAAAACCTCTCCAGCCAGCACTAAGTCCTTGCTTGGCACCTAGATATTTTGCATCATAGTTGTGCCCATCCTCATCTTCTAGCACAATAGCAGTGTCCTTCTTTGGGAGATGCTTGTTGCAGAAGTCAGACGGTAGACCCTGGGAGACAAACGTAAAATTCAAATGCAGAGGAAGCAAAAACAAAGAGAAGAAATGTTTTCATTAATCCCATCCCCATGTACACCAAATGACACTCAGGAAGCGTCCACACATGTACTAAGCTTATGAGATTGCTCTACCTGAAACTAAATTTCACAAACCACGACGTGCTCTAAGTTGTGCAGTTCACACTTTTGCAGTGCACATTTTTTGCCCAGTAATTTGATTATCTTCTGATACAAAAGAAAAGGCAATCTGCATTTTCGTTTAGCAGGTGTTTCCTCCCCTTCGATATTTGGGTTCTTGGGTCCACATGTTGTTCATAAGAAACGATCGCCTAATTCTTCCGCTTTGGACAAATATGTGAATAGCTAATAAATAGACTTACCAGCCAAAAACCATGAACAACATGTGAATGTAGCATATGCTTGACAAAGCTAGGATGTTCGGCTGGTAACTTCACAAGTACCTCCTCAGCTCTCTCCATAGCAGACCCAAAGTTACCCTGAACGCTATAGTTTGTTCAAAGATTGAAGTGCATAAGTGGACAGGCTTTTCAGGAACTGTTAATGCATCTTCTTACTCTCGAGAAAAGAAAAAAAGTTTGAAGTACCTTGCACATTTCTTTTGGCAATTAACAACAGCTACCTGTCAAGCCACAGCTTATTCATAGTTAGTTAGTACTCCCTCCATCCCACAAGATAAGATCGTTTTTCAAGCTAACATAGCTTGAAAAACGATCTTATATTATGGGACAGAGGGAGTACATGTTTTGAACTAATAGAAAGTGAAGAAAATGGAGGTTAAAAACACAACAGTAATATAGAATACATGAGGCAATGCATATGAAAATAGCAGAGTCAATCAATGTTTAGAAACACATTCAATACTGTGTCCAGAAATTAAGACCATTAAGAATTTTTAGTCGCCTGAATCGTTAAGTGTGACAAACATATTGATCTGCTTAAACCAAATTATGACATTATTTTTTGAAATGAAGGTGTGTAACATATGTATGTTCACAATAAAAAAACGTATGTAACATATGAAGCTTGTTCATAGTTAGTGCATGTTTTGAACTAATAGAAAGTGAAGAAAATGGAGGTTAAAAACACAACAGTAATATACTCCCTCCGTTCCAAATTACTCGTCGTGGTTTTAGTTCAAATTTGAACTAAAACCACGACGAGTAATTTGGAAAGGAGGGGAGTAGAATACATGAGGCAATGCATATGAACATAGCAGAGTCAATCAATGTTTAGAAACACATTCAATACTGTGTCCAGCAATTAAGACCATTAAGAATTTTTAGTTGCCCGATTTGTTAAGTGTGACAAACATATTGATCTGCTTAAACCAAATTATGACATCATTTTTTGAAATGAAGGTGTGTAACATATGTATGTTCACAAAAAAAAGGTATGTAACATATGAAGCTTGTTTATAGTTAGTGCATGTTTTGAACTAATCGAAAGTGAAGAAAGTAGAGGTGAAAAACACAACAGTTATATAGACTACATGAAGCAATGCATATGAAACATAGCAGAGTTTATAAATGTTTAGAAACACATTCAATATTGTGTCCAGAAATTAAGCCCATTAAGAATTTTTTAGCAAGTTGTCTGAATCCTTAAGTGTGACATACATATGACCTGCTCAAACCAAATTATGACATCATTTTGTTTAAATGAAGGTGTGTAACATATGTATGTTCACAAAAAAAAGGCATGTAAAATATGACAATGTGCTTCTTTCAAGCTTTGAACAACAAGAATGTCCTAAAGGCGGAATACGGAATCATACCACAGTTCTCACCATCGGCACAAGATCATCATCTACGTCGCTCTTGCTGCTGTTACTGCCGCCGCTCTCAACCAAGGCAAGCCCCGGCGTTGACATATTCAACTTCTGCTCCATGTCATTCTTGGTGTTGACAAGCCTCCCTCTCTTCTTCTGAAACCCAACCAGCCAAAATCTTTAAACCATTTTATGCAATTATTGAAGATAAGAAAATTAGTGAAATTTTGGGTGTCAAAATCTCTGAAGCATTATGTGCTTATAAATGAATTTTTTGGAAGAACTGTTTACTAGAAGGCTAAAAAGAAAAAATTCAAAATTTTAACAGAAGGCTAAAAAGAAACAGATAATCTGATAACATAGAATTCATATGGTCATGAGCATTGGTTGCACTAGTGTCTATCGTGATAATGAAACATGAGAAAAACAATATAAGCAAATTATTAAATACTTCATTTTACTTTGACAGAGGCAGTTCCACAGTGTGATCAAGGTTCAGGAACACAAAAGAAAAGCCAATCAAACGGCAGACTCCAGCACTCACCACTGAAGCTTAAGCAGAAGGAAACATATAATCTAAGAGAATGCATAAGCTCGGACTCTTGGAAGCACTAGCTGCTACAGTACTATTGAGGCGGTGAAAACTGAAAAAAGAAGCTTAAACAGACACTTTCAGAAAAAAGAAGCTTAAACAGACACTTTCAGACTCCATTACAGTTGTATTATCACTTTTTTTTACCAGGGTCCATTACAGATTATCAGAGGCACATAGTAAGCGTGATCGAGCTTCAGAAAAGAAATTGAAATGGCTGGCATGAAAGACTACGGCAGACCTGCAGTGGCCAACAATCTGAGTGGAGCTTAAGCTGAAAGACCTCACCATTGTGGCCGTCGGCGCAACATCAGCTTCCTTGTCGCTCTCTCTGTCGAGCAAGGCGAGCCTTCGGTGCACCAGTGCCATCTTCTGCTCCATGACCATCTTATCTCGCTCGGTCTTGTTGACAGACGGGGAACCTCCTCCTGCTGGCCTCCCTCTCTTCTTCTGAAAGGAGGCCGACCAAAACAGAGACATAAGTTCAACGTATAATCAAAAACCAATCCTTTTGTATTACTAATCCCATCTAGCAACATGCCGTAGAGAAACAAAATCTGTTCTGGCTGGATGGTCGAAATGTTTTTTTTTTCAAGAAACATTTCTTTTTTATGTTCCAAACAAGAATCACTCTCTCCAAGGCAATCACAATTCACAGGATGACGAAATAAAACAAAATGAGACCTCCATATGTCACGAGATTGCGGTATGCAGCGCTCCATTAACGAAAGATTCAAGAGAAGGCCGAGAAATCAAGAAACCCTCGACCGCTAACTACATAATTCTATAAATCAACAGCCGCACGAATCAAAGAAAGTGGAGGAGATGAACTTGCCTTGAGGGATTGATCGATCGCCATCGCCTCCGCCTCCGCCTCGGCGCTCGTGGAGTCCTAGTGCTCGGGGTGCTTGAGGCAAAAACGGGGGCGGGGAGAGGACTGACGGGCTGCACAGACGGCAGAGAGGAGGAGGGTGGAGGAAGGAGGGGGGAGGAACAGTACTGGGCTGGGGTAAATAAATAACGTGGAAAAATGGTAAAAGCGGAAACAGATTACCGTTCGGCTACAGTGATTGAATGACGCCGTGTATGTCGGTTGATTGGTTTTCACCAACGCGCGGTTTGAAAAGTGTCCAGTACACATTTGGAAAGTGCATTTACCATTTTCCCTGTAAAAAAATGCATTTACCATTCCACCCAACTTCTCCAACGGAATGCACAACAGCCCGTGAAAAATGCTCATCACTCGTCTCGAGACAGGTTCGTAAAAAGCCTTTATTTTGAATAAAAAAATGTATAGTCACGGCGTATATGAACCGATTTGATTGGGTTTCAACAGGATCTGGCCATCGCAGAATTTATGACCGGGTTCTGGTGATCATCTCAAGGGGAGGCAGGATTTATGACTGGGTTCTGATGTATATCTTTGTATAAATTTATCAAAGGAATACTCATGACGTCATTGTCTTCAACTCATATCATATGTTTTCGACGATGGGGGTGACAAGAGAAGCAAGATATGCGGTGTGAGTGAGGTTCAAAAGTTGCTCCAAGACCCACATAACTATTTATTAGATACATTATAACTAAGCACTCTAGGAGTTCTCTCAGGCCATCACTATCAACAGCTGTCCAATTCATGATATAGACCTAGCTGGCCGTACGATCTATGTTTGATTTCTCCTAGCCCCTACATGGGTCGTTGTCTTAGGGCCGCTGCTCCAGTGACAATTTCTGAGCCTGCTGGTTTGTTGGGCCGTTTCGATATTTTCTGGGCAGGCTTCTTGTTGGCTCGTGTTTGATCGCTTTGGAGGACATGGAGGTCCGTGTAGCACCGCTCAATCAATCGAGCCGGCGTGAGGTCCAGTGATGAAGAGAAGGCCTTGCTGCCGAAACAGTAGTTGCAACGACGAGCACCTCGTCCGGCGATCCAGACTTCGCCAATCGATGACGTAAAGGGATGCAAGGGGAGCAGATGCTTGCATACGATTGGAATTAATCCGCCCTCATTAAGACGAGGAGTAAACCAACCGTTTCTACAGCCATTGGCTGCCAAGGTGTGCGTCACTCACCAAGGCATGATGGCGGAGGTGCGTTACAGTTTAGGTTACTTCCTACGCGTTGGCATGCCTATATATGATCTCGGTCGTCCCGCTGTTTCATCAGCCCTTCTTCCTCCTGGAGTGCCGCTACAAATCGCAACCCCTGGCCCTGCACCCGTTCAGTTCATTCTGAAGTATATTTTTTTGTTGAGCGACGGCTGACGACCACTCCTCCCACGACCAAGATGCCTCTTCCAACTCCGTTCCATTCTCAGCGCGGCTCGCAAACCGTACGTGTGCTCAGGCAGCAGCGCTGGCAGTGAAAGAGATGCGAAGGAGCGTATTGTGGCCTCATCTCCCTCTGCATGACAATACAAGCCCATCTTCCTTTGAAATGGCAGCATGGAGAATTGGCGATGCTGCCATGCTGGCAGCCATGCGTCCGACGACTGCGCCATCTTCCTTGCCGTCAGCCCCGACGACGTCACCATCCCGGCGAGAGGAAGAGGTGGGAGCTACCGCTTTGGATCACGGATGGACTTGTCGCTACGGTTGTAACCTTTTTTTTGTTGTTGTTGCGGGGAACCTATTAGGGCATGTACAAAGGTAGCATCACCATCATGATGTCTCACCTCTTCCACCTAGATAAATTTGAGTTAAGCTACCGTGTGTATCACAATCACCCAAGGGAGGCTACCCGAGCGATGTCATCATCTTACTTTTCTCTCTCACCTACTTTCCATCACATGCAGACTAAACCAGTACAACCAAGCAACCATGTAGTACTCACACCGCGTTGCCCCAGCAGTTGCCTCATGGCTTTTGTCAGGGAGGAGGCGAGCTCTTCTGCAGGAGGCCGCTTCCCTCTGCAAGCATCACGTTTGACGGAGGTGGCACTCGGCAGGACGATGTGGCACCTGGGGCACCCGTCCAGCTTGGCCCGTTGGCCATGCCCTTATGAGTTGTTGTGCTTGAGATACACTAAGCAGGCAAGCATGTCAGGTAAGGTCCATATAGATCCGTGAATCTTATGTAAATACGTACGTAGAAAGCAAATAAGCCAACTATGCCTTGTGTCTCCAGTAGAAAAGGAAGTCAACTACGTACGCCTTGTGTCTCCGGTAGAAAAAGAAGTCAACTACGCCTTGTGTCTTCAGTAGTTCAGTGCTAATAACACATGTATTGCTGCTTTAGGAATCTTCGTTTGTCATATCAATAGCAAATACTCGAGCAAGTGCTGCAGGTGAGCTCCTGTGCATGGCGCCTGTGAAGGAAATATGCCCTAGAGGCAATAATAAAGTTATTATTTATTTTCTCATATCATGATAAATATTTATTATTCATGCTAGAATTGTATTAACCGGAAACATGATACATGTGTGAATACATAGACAAACACATAGTCACTAGTATGCCTCTACTTGACTAGCTCATTAATCAAAGATGGTTATGTTTCCTAACCATAGACATGTGTTGTCATTTGATTAAAGGGATCACATCATTAGGAGAATGATGTGATTGACATGACCCATTCTGTTAGCCTAGCACTTGATCGTTTAGTATACTGCTATTGCTTTCTTCATGACTTATACAAAGTTCCTGCAACTATGAGATTGTGCAACTCCCGTTTACCGGAAGAACACTTTGTGTGCTACCAAACGTCACAACGTAACTAGGTGATTATAAAGGTGCTCTACAGGTGTTTCCGAAGGTACATGTTGGGTTGGCATAATTCGAGATTAGGATTTGTCACTCCGATTGTCGGAGAGGTATCTCTGGGCCCTCTCGGTAATACTCATCACCTAAGCCTTGCAAGCATGTAACTAATGAGTTAGTTATGAGATGACGTATTACGGAACGAGTAAAGAGACTTGCCGGTAACGAGATTGAACTAGGTATTGAATACCGATGATCAAATCTCGGGCAAGTAACATACCGATGACAAAGGGAACAAAGTATGTTGTTATGCGGTTTGACCGATAAAGATCTTCATAGAATATGTAGGAACCAATATGGGCATCCAGGTCCCACTATTGGTTATTGACCGAGAATGGTTTTAGGTCATGCCTACATAGTTCTCGAACCCGTAGGGTCCGCACGCTTAACGTTTTGATGACAGTTTTATTATGAGTTTATAAGTTTTGATGTACCGAAGTTTGTTCGGAGTCCCGGATGTGATCACGGACATGAAAAGGAGTCTCGGAATGGTCGAGACATAAAGATTGATATATTGGAAGCCTATGTTTGGACATCGGAATGGTTCCGGGTGAAATCGGCATTTTACCGGAGTACCGGGAGGTTACCGGAACCCCCCGGGGGGTTAATGGCCTACATGGGCCAAGAGGGAGAAGAGGAAGGAGCAAGGAGGGGGCCGCGCACTCCTCCCCCTCCTAGTCTGAATAGGATAAGGGAAGGGGGGCGGCGCCCCCCCTTTCCTTCTCCTCTTCCTCCTCTTTCCCCCTCTCTCCTACTCCAACTTGGAAAAGGGGAGTCCTACTCCCGGTGGGAGTAGGACTCACCCCTTGGCGCGCCCCCTTAGGCGGGCGGCCTACTCCCCCCTGGCTCCTTTATATATGGGGGCGGGGGGCACCCCATGGACACACAAGTTGATCTACGGATCGTTCCTCAGCCGTGTGCGGTGCCCCCTTCCACCATATTCCACCTCGGTCATATCGTCGCGGAGTTTAGGCGAAGCCCTGCGCCGGTAGAACATCATCATCGTCACCACACCGTCGTGCTGACGGAACTCATCTCCGGAGCTCGGCTGGATCAGAGGCCGGAGATCGTCATCGAGTTGAACGTGTGCTGAACTCGGAGGCTCCGTACGTTCGGTGCTTGGATCGGTCGGATCGTGAAGACGTACGACTACATCAACCGCGTTGTGATAACGCTTCCGCTTACGGTCTACGAGGGTACGTGGACGAACACTCTCCCCTCTCGTTGCTATGCCATCACCATGATCTTGCGTGTGCGTAGGAATTTTTTTGAAATTACTATGTTCCCCTACAGTGGTATCAGAGCCTAGGTTTTATGCGTTGATGTTATATGCATGAGTAGAACACAAGTGAGTTGTGGACGATATAAGTCATATTGCCTACCAGCATGTCATACTTTGGTTCAGCGGTATTGTGAGATGAAGCGGCCCGGACCGACATTACGCGTACGCTTATGCGAGACTGGTTTCACCGTTACGAGCACTCGTGCTTAAAGGTGGCTGGCGGGTGTCTGTCTCTCTCACTTTAGTTGAACCGAGTGTGGCTACGCCCGGTCCTTGCGAAGGTTAAAATGGAGTCTATTTAACAAACTATCGTTGTGGTTTTGATGCGTAGGTGAGAACGGTTCTTGCTAAACCCGTAGCAGCCACGTAAAATTTGCAACAACAAAGTAGAGGACGTCTAACTTGTTTTTGCAGGGCATGTTGTGATGTGATATGGTCAAGACGTGATGCTATATTTTATTGTATGAGATGATCATGTTTTGTAACCGAAGTTATCAGCAACTGGCAGGAGCCATATGGTTGTCGCTTTATTGTATGAAATGCAAACGCCCTGTAATTGCTTTACTTTATCACTAAGCGGTAGCGATAGTCGTAGAAGCAATAGATGGCGTAAACGACAACGATGCTATGATGGAGATCAAGGTGTCACGCCGGTGACGATGGTGATCATGACGGTGCTTCGGAGATGGAGATCACAAGCACAAGATGATGATGGCCATATCATATCACTTATATTGATTGCATGTGATGTTTATCCTTTATGCATCTTATCTTGCTTTGATTGACGGTAGCATTTTAAGATGATCTCTCACTAAAATTATC